GAGGTGTACTTTTTTTACTTGAAAAAGGTGTGGGAATTAGGTTTTTTCATGAAAAGTGCCAAAAGTTTACTGTCAAAAAATTTAGGGCATGTAACATGATGTTACATGAAAATTAATATGAAATTATGATTTCTTACGTCAAAAAAAATCCGGGTACCGAATTTCGTGCAAATAACTTATGTTTTGCAAGAGTTATTTTCAAAAAACGAACAAAAAAATTCAATTTCAACACCCCGTATCTCCAAAACGAAGCATTTTCGGACACAAGTTCATAAAGACTTTTTCTGAAAATTGTCTCAGGAATACGTCACTTGAATACAAACAATTATTATTGAAGTAACTGTCATAATTCAATGTCATAGCCAACTACAAAAATACGTACTGTGCGCCCTCGTATAGAGAATGAGTTTCACGTTAAAAAATGTGAATAGAGTCAATATTCTATGACAGTTCCAAGGTACTGAAATTACATATTCTGTACTTTTTTTAAGAACAAAACACAAGCATTACAGGAAAATGTATTTAAATAATAATTTCAAAGAAACATTCAGTACCTAAATATACCAATCGTTTGTTTGTAAAATATTGTGAGCAATCCAAAATTCATAAAAGATATGGAGCATTACCTACCTCAATATCCAACCAAATCATACACATTCCATGTGCTGGAAATTCATGATGGAAAATAAGCATCTTGGACAAGTAGTTGTACAAATAGATTCTTCCATCTTTTCCAAGACTAGCCAAAAACGGGCCAAACGGACAAGCTGCAATATCAACAACCTTTCCCGCGTGACATTTGTACAGTTGAACTGCTGGTCTTGGTTCAATTTCGGTGTTCAAATCAATTTGCCAAATTCCACCATTTCCATCCTATAAAATATCGATTAAAACAAAATGTATGTGGTGGATAGGTTGATATACGACATTATTAAAATATAGGTATATGAGGTGATATGTGAAAAAACTTTTGGGTTGGGCGAGATTGTTCGAATTATCTTGAATATTTTGAGTGTTTATCGAAATATTTAAAATATTTCAGTTATGAATGAAAACTGGCGCTAATGCGTATATAGTACTCATTCATCATTACCATTGAAAATAAACCTATACTGGGTTGTAACTCGTCATCTTTTATGGCCAACGATGAAAGTCTTTTCACCAATCTGAATCAAAGTGAATCCTAAACTAGAACCATAAAGGAACCATCTGTGAAGTTATAGAAACGCCAAACATTCATGAAAACTTCCAGGAAATTGAAAAAATATTTTGAAATAGTTCTCGATTGGAATTTCAGAATGGCAAACAATAATAATAATAATAATGATGATAATACTGATAATAATAAGCAGAAAAGGCCACTAACACCCTTGGGTGAATTGCGACACCACTTACCCGAGCAACTGGTGCAAAACCGGACCGGCAGCCCAGGCGCACCCGGGAAGGAGAACTCTATTCTCCCTCCGGTGCCGGCCAAGGGTCCACAGGGCTAACCACCCGGTGGACCCAACACTTGGTTCCCAATAATCAAGGAAGGGGCCCCCCCACAACCGACCCGCTCGGAGGGGTCAGAGGCAAGGTGGTGGGGCCCATAACGATGATTTGCCTATCGATGACAACCCTGGCAATGAAAACGGACGTTTTGAGTAGACGCATGAGGTAAGAGATAGCCATATGTATTGCTACGAGAGTAGTGAGCCTGCGCGAAGAGGGTACATGACGAGATTGCATGCTCTGTGGTGTGAAACACATCCGGAGCATGTCGCCTTTTCCGCCCAAAATCTTAGGGATTATGTATCTTATCTTCGACGCCAGGGCTATTTAGCTCCTTCCCAGCCTGCTAACGAAGTGGTGGAAGTGACAGTTCTACCACCCGTTGGCACGGCTGGAGAGGAGACTCACCAGTTTGTGTCTGAAAGTTACTTCTTTGCATGATCCACACATCCATGTATAGAGTTACTTATTTTCAAATTGATTACTTCCTTCCTTTCTTGGAAAGTTTCCCACATTTTTTGTGTATCAAGATGAAGTAGTAGAAAGCCAAAAACTTTATTTCGCAAATTAATCATTTTGGCATATAGATACCCATAACGTCAGAACTTGATATGGATATTAAATGAACGGAAAATAAAATTATTATGAACCAGGTTCATGATTGCAATGCATAAAAAAAGATTAAACAGTTGAGGGCTCGGTAGCGTATGCACTAGACCTGTTCAACTGAATAAAATAAACATAAATCGGTGCAAATATTTACATAAATCCTAAAATTCAACTTTTGAAATTAGCCTTTTTGAGTTCATATTACCCTTTCTTATTCTTGAAATATTCACAACAAATATCCCTCGTACACGAAGCTCAATCAATCAAAATGGGTATAAGCCCATAATTTTGAAAATGTTGCTTTGAAGCAGATGCTTTCGTGTATAATAATTCGAAATGTTCATCTCAAATTATTATACTCTCAAGCAATTTGCATAGCATTAGTTCAAAAACCATGGATTTGTACACATTTCAATCGATTATACTTGGTGCACTTGGGATATAATACTTGAACGGATAAATGTAGGATTGAAAAATTATTTAACAGGAAACCCCACATTTGAAAATTTTTTATTTCACTACATATTAAAACATTCGATTTGCGGTATGCAAACAAATGAAAGAAAATGTGGACTACAAACCAATCTTATATTTATATTACATGCAATAAAGTTTCCTGGAGTGAAATCAATTATTTTTGTATTCCATTTGCTTTGAATTGATGATGACAGAAATGTTTTTTGTCTTCGAAAAGGAGAAAATTGAAGAAACTGAAAGATTGAATCTTCAAAATCCAACATCTAACGAGATTTCACTATCTTACAATACTGTTATGAACTATATATGTCACCAATGTTACTTTTTATAATAGCTCAGTGGTATACTTATTTGATTTCATATTTGATCTTAAGACGGTAGGTGGAGTGGTCTCTTTAGATACCGCTTGCCGCATTAAGACCAGAGCCGGCAGGTGTTAGTCCGTTGGAGGATCTAAACACATTTACGTTACTATATCCTGGACTGGATTCCGAATCCAAGACGTTTGGCGTTACCTGCATATTTAACGGGTGTCGAGGGCAAGATCCGTTGTCCAACAAAGCTCGACTTTACTTTACGTAGTGCCCTAATGTTCTACCTAAACTAAAGACGCCGCGAGGGTACAATTGGCCACCACGATGGCACTAGGCCGGACCAGAGGGTTCCCTACGATCCCTACCACCTAACCGACATACTATCGCGACTTTTACCTAACCCGAGGAAAAAGAGAAGCCTCCGGAGGCAACACAGGCGTTTAAAGCCCCCAGATACCAGTGCAATAGGACAGTCCACGTAGGCTGCCCTGTAGACAGTCTGGGTCGGCGTACTCTCCGATGTATTCAAGCCTGGGTAGGTCGAATACGTCCAAGAAAGCCGGCTAGTTGGTCCCTCGTTGCGGCTTGACGCCGAAAGTATCGAATTTTTTTGTTAGGTCCTGATAAGGACAGATATAGAACTGAAAATTCCAAGTGTTCGACGCCAGGTCTTGAAAAATAACTTTTTTGTATATCTGCCTTGATAAAGGCAAATTGGATCCACAGCAATATCAGATAACAAATTCTCTTTGGGAAGTACATTTGGTTTTTACTTTCCAAATCTCAACTCGAAGAAACTGCAGCCGAAGACTTCCTTTTGAAATATCTTTTTATATATCTATATGCACATATACAGTGTGTCCAAGATAAGAATCCTAAGCATGGGAATCTCAGTACCTGTTGGAGATACAGCTTAGGTTAAATTAGGAAAAAGTTGTGTTCTTTAAAGCTTATTTACATGCCGTTTAGAAACTTGAAGAATTTTCATGGCCTGCTGAGATATTTGGGAAAAACGAGAATTTGACAATATCAATTTTATTTTTTTCTGACTTTATTTGAAAAGATATCAAAAAACGAATAACACTTTTTCATTGGCACTTT